TAAAGTAATTATTTAAAAAAAATTATAAGAACCCAACAGAGAGATTGATCATATCACTGTGTGGCGAACTGAACATTCGTCTAAGGTTAATAAATTGCTAAAATTGATAGTGAACTGCAACAAAAATAAAAAAAATACATTTAGATAATCACAATCTTAGGAAACACAAAACAATGGAAGTACAACTTTAGAGTCTGCATGTCTAGAAATTTCAAAGCTTTTAAAAAAGTACAAGAGAGACATGAGAGCGCTAGCGGAAGAAGATTTTTTTTAAATATATATCCCTGCAATCAATCATTAAAGGAAATCGTAAAGAAATCCATTTACAATTATCAAATCAAATTACTTTTAAACCACCAAGGTTTAAAGGGTGTCCACGATGAAATTGCCACACACAAAATTGATTCGCAAAATTCGAGTTTTCATCCGATTGCCATCAAATTTTCAGGGATTGAGAAATAACTATTAAACTTCATTTTACCAATTTACTCGTATTTTATTTACAGTCCATACGCAAATGCCCGCACCTTGGCCTTAACCCCGGCCATAAGATTCTGCACAACCTGTGAATCAACCGTTTTTTGCATGTAAACCCATACTTTCTTCAGTTCCTCGACTGTCTTCACTACCTTAGGTCGTCTAAGAAGGTGCTGCTTCATAATCGGCCAGTACTTCTCGATGGGGCGGAGCTCCGGAGTGTTGGGAGGGTTGAACATTTTCGGCACAAAATTGACCTTGTTGTCCGCATACCACTTCAGCACGTCCTTGGAGTAGTGGCATGAGGCCAAATCCGGCCAGAAGATTGTTGGGACGTTGTGGGCCTTCAGGAGAGGAAGCAGCCGCTTCTGGAGGCACTCTTTTATGTACACCTGTCCGTTCATCGTGTCCTGGGTCACGAAAGGTGCACTCCGCTTCCCGCACGTGCAGATGGCTTGCCAAACCAGGAATTTCTTCGCAAATTTGGACATCTTCTGAGTGCGGACATGCTCCGGAACGCTGAACTTATCCTTGGCCGTGAAAAACAGGTTGCCGGGGATCTGTTTGAAGTCGGCCTTCACATATGTTTCGTCGTCCATGATGCAGCATTCAACTTTCGTCAGCATGTTGAGGTACAACTTCCTGGCATGGGTTTTGGCGGATTTGTTCTGCTTCTCGTCGCGATTAGGGGCCTTTTGTACCTTGAACGTTCGAAGCCCAGCCTTAGTTTTGGCCTTCTGGACAAAACTTCGGCTTAGGTGCAGCTTCTTAGCCACATCCCTAACGGAGGCGTTCGGATTTCGGTTGAAGGCCCCAACTACGCGGTTGTGATTTTTGGTGTTGTACGGAATACTTTTTCCTTCACTTCTGGGCTTCCGATCGGTGGTCAACCGTTCCTCGAACCGCTTAATCACTCGCGACACCGTGGAATTCGCGATTCCCAACGTTTTAGCGATGGAACGATGCGAGAGATCCTTGTTCTCGTGATGAATGCGCAAGATTTTATCACGCACGAGCTGTTCTTTCGACTCCATTTCCGCGAGTTTTGATCACAGGGCTTTAAAACTTGCAGGATGTAAATAATGCACTATGAACTAAATCCACCCAAATTTTCATTAAATTCTACCCAACGGTTAAAAAGTTAGAGCAATTTCATAGTGTGGCAATTTCATCGTGGACACCCTTTATACATATGCATATACAGTTACTTTTGCGGGCTGACGCGTTGGTCGCCGGTAAGGGCCAGTAAGTGCTGCCAGCAGATTAATCAAGAGGTATTCGAAACAAAATTGATAAGAAATGTCCATTCAAATTGATTTAATAAAGTTGAACAAATTTCAAAACTATATACGTGCCAGATTTGGAAATAATATTTTTTTAATCTCGGAGTGTTTTTATGATATCATTATCTATTCGATAAAGGTAGAGTGAACATGCGGGGCTTTTTGTAAGTAAAAGTGACCTCGGAGTGGTCGTGAATTACCAGGCATTCTGAAATGGGTCACTGGAGGTGCAATAGAGCTAACACCTTCTAACTCCCGGACTAAACCTGCTTTAATTGAGGGGAATAAAAAGCAGTTTTCTTCCATAATAACACTGCCGGACAGTGAGGGTTAGATTGTACACACAAGGTTTATACATATGCAGAAAGAGATTAATGAAGTCTTGACGCGTCACCATATGACCCCTACGGGAGGACATATTGGTCAACACCGGTTATACTTGAAACTGTGAGAATTTCACAAGTGGCGAAATATGAAATTTGATATTAGGAATGTCATAAAAAGTTGAGAAAAATTCAAAATCAATAAGTTACGTAGGCATACTAAACCATTCGAAGTGCTTTCCACTGATACAGTCGATCCTTTTGCAATAAACTAATAAAGGCAATATATATGTCCGTACAATTCAATGCAATCTACCTAAAACCATTGTTCTAATTCCAATTCCAACAAAAAAAGCGTCGGTAATAACAAAAGCACTTGTTGAAAATGTTATACTAATTTACGGTAATATTATGGAACTGCGTAAAGATCAAGGAACAGTATACCGAATTGAAGAAGTTCTTGATCAGATATGCAAGCTTCCAGAAGTAAAAGTGGTGTACCGTAAGGTAGCGTTCTCGGTCCTCTAATCTTCAACATTTTTATTAACGACCTGTGCATACTACTTTCATCATTCAAACTTTCCTTTGCCGATGATCTCAAAGTGTATCGCATCATTGCCTCGTCTTTAGACTGTGACGCTTTGCAGGAGGATATAAACGTCATGCTTATCTGGTGCAGTGCGGCATGTGCGTTAACAGCAAGAAGTGCAAGATAATATCTCAAACTCACTATCAGTACTATATGGACGCAGAGACACTCAAACGGGTAAATTCGAGTGCGATCTGGGAGTCACCATCGATTCAAAGCTGAGGTTTAACGATCAGGTAGGGATTATATCAGCCAAAGCTTTTTCGGTATTAGGATTCATCCGTCGACACGCCTCTGACTTCACCGATGTATATGCTCTAAAAACACTCTACTGTTCGTTGGTGCTCAGTATCCTGGAGTACGCTGCACCAGTTTGGTCGCCGTATTACGTAACACAGACTCTGACGATCAAACGTGTGCAGAAAAGGTTCATAAGATTCGCTCTTCGTCAACTTCCTTGCAACGATCCAGAAAATCTTCCTCCCTATGTCGATCGATGCCAGCTGATTAAACTCGAACCTCTTTCTGCCAGGCGAGTCAACATGCAACGCTTGTTTGTCTTTGACCTCATCAAAGGATCCATCGATTGTCCTGCACTTCACGAACAGATTCCACTGAATGCTCCACCCAGACACTTCCACCACTCACCACTCCTAGCGGTTCCTTAGCATAGGACAAACTACGGCCATAATAATCCATTCGACTCGTGTCTTCGAGCATTCAATGACGTTAGCGATGAGTTCGATTTGAATTTGTCTAAAAATGTGTTTAGTAAAAGGATTAAAGATAAGATTTATGTTTAATTTTATGTTATTGAGTCTGAACGACTAAGTCGAAGATGGTGTAATAAATAAATAAAAACAAACATTTTCTACCCCTTACCATGCACAATCAGAAGGTGCAATGAAAAGAAATCATAGATGCCTTAACGAGTATCTATGATCTTTTACCAATATTCACCTATATGATTGAGATGAATAGATTAAATTTTATGCTCTTACTTTTAATATTTCACCACATACTGAACACCAATATGCTCCATATGATTTAATCACAATCTAAAATTCCTCAGATACCTTTTTTCTAAACCCTCCAAGTTGACATACGAAAGTCACTTCAAAAGGGCAAACACCAAACACAAGTACCTTCCGTATCTCATCTACAAAAATACAAACATTAAAATTATTACAACCATATGTTTTGTTTTCCGTATGACCCAGAATGCGTTCACAAAATAAATGCAGCGACTTTGACTCTGACCCGGGAAAACAACAGACCCAAATTATTTCGCTATATCTTTTCGGCAACCCTTTTCTATGATGACCAATAAGCAGCAATTAAACGCCATAACGAGTAACCAACACACGTGACAGATTGATGTGATTGATTCACTATGTTTGGAGACCTGTAAAGTAACCTCCCATAGAATAAGTTACAAGTGTAGAATTAGGCTTGAGTGAACGTTCCTAGAATTATAAAGATGATTCGTAACCATGACGCGAACCTGAAAAGGTTGTCTTCTCCAGATATTACAAGCCCTCAAAAGGTTTGTACAATAAACTTTTAACATGTAATCGAGAATTTCACAAATTCAAGTATAAATAACTTGTAGCTTTCGCATACAATCAATTATAACGCAATTAACCATCTCTTCTATTTAACAAAGAGTTACCTAGGAACCATTAATCATAAGTGCATTACTTTGGTCGCAAAAAGCCATGTGCGGCTACAAGATGAAAGTGAAGCTCTCTTAGCTTCTTATATTAACATTATCTCCAAATCACAGTGGACTGATAACAAGACAATGGACGAACAGAAAGAAGCAAGTGTCATTTTTATCTTTACTTCGTTTTATTTGTTGATAAGAATTAAATTATTTCCCGTCATCCCTTGCAAGGAAGCCAAATCAAAACTTGCACGCAACACTTGACGCAGCAATTTTTCAAACCCGTACCCGTAGAGTGACATTGAAGAACTGATAAAGAGCCCTGACCTGGAATCAAGTGGAATCGTATGAAATTGATGTGTTTAGACACAAATACCTACAAATAGATCCAAACAGTTCCTAAACCAAAAAAAAAAAACTCCTTCCTGTACATTCACGAATTTCACGTGATTGAAACCGGTTGGAATCGAAAGTAAACACCCGGTACTCTACAGCTCTCCGACCGGTTCTGCCAAACAGGCGTCATAAGGCAACGCTACCTCTACCAAGCGTCGCGAATTTCTCGCTATCCATCATTGAACACACGCTAGTCGGCACTGTCGAATCATTATCAGTGTTTACTCTTTTGGGAGCTATAAAAGCACATTTGAAACCAATCTCTAATCTTAGTTTGCCAGTTGTACAACAACTGGGAAGAACCAACTGTGCTCCTGAATTTCAAATGTTCCTCTACACATTCGCACTCTTCTGGTTGGCGGTGGCGTTTGCGATCCGGTACGTCTACACGTACTGGGATCGCCAAGGACTACCGAGCTTGAAACCGCACATCCCATTTGGCAATCTGAAGAAGGTCGCCAAGAAGACGGAGTCCTTCGGTGTAGCCGTCTGCGAGTTGTATTGGCAAACGAAGGATCAACTGGTCGGAATCTATCTGTTCTTCCGACCGGCCATCCTGATTCGCGATGCACACCTAGCGCAGCGGATTATGACGACAGATTTCAACTATTTCCACGATCGAGGCGTATACTGCAACGAGCAAGGGGATCCCTTTTCCGCGAACCTGTTTGCTCTTCCGGGGAAACAGTGGCGCAATTTGAGAAACAAGTTCACGCCCCTGTTCACCGGTGGACAACTTCGCAACATGATGCCAACGATTTTGCACGTTGGTAGCAAGCTGCAGAAGTTTCTCGAACCGATTGCTGAGCGGAAAGAAGTGTTGGAAATTCGTGAAGTAGTGTCGCGGTGCGTGCTGGAGATTATTGCCACGGTGTTTTTCGGATTTGAAGCGAACTGTTTGAACGATCGGGATGATTCGTTCAGTAAGGTCCTCCGGGAGTTTCAAGTTGAAAATTTTTCGAACAATTTCCGAGCGGCTGCGGTATTCGTCTGTCCTGAGCTGTTGAAGGTGACACGAGTTTCATCGCTGAGCCCGGAAATGATTAAGTTTGTGACGGACATAGTAACGGAGCAGATCAATTATCGAGAGAAGAACAACGTGATCAGGAAGGATTTCATTCAGCTCTTGATTGATCTTCGTCGAGAAGATAAGAATAATAACGAAGTAGCGTTGAATTTGGGTCAGTGTGCAGCAAATGTGTTCCTGTTCTATGTGGCTGGGTCGGATACCTCAACGAGTGCGATAACTTTCACACTGCATGAGCTAAGCCAACATCCGGAAACGATGCAGAAGTTGCAGGAGGAAATTGATGAAATGGTGGTGAAAAGCAATGGCGAACTTACTTATGATGGTATCAAAGCGATGCCGTACCTGGATTTGTGCGTCAAGGAAACATTGCGGAAGTATCCGGGACTTCCGATGTTGAACCGCGAATGTACTAAGGACTTCAAAGTGCCTGATTCGGACGTTGTGATTCGGAAGGGAACTCAGGTGGTGATCCCATTGCTTGCGTACGGCATGGATGAGAAATATTTCCCCGAGCCGGATCGGTACGATCCGGAGAGATTTGAAGATGCTACGAAAAACTACGACGAAAAGGCATACTTTCCTTTTGGAGAAGGTCCCCGAAATTGCATAGGTAATTCAGGCACAATTGTAGTTGGAAGTGTAAAATTAATCTTAATTTTAAATTTTCCACAGCTTTCCGGATGGGTGTAATGGTGTCCAAGATTGGATTGGTTTTGCTGCTTTCGAAGTTTAACTTTGAAGCAACGCAGGGCCCAAAGATGAAGTTCAGTGCAGCTTCGGTTCCGCTTCTGCCCAAGGCTGGAATACCACTGAAAATATCGAAGCGTTGATTTGTCTATAATCGATTTGATAGTGCAATGAGACTGTGATGGTTCGTAGGCTTAAGCAAATGTTAAGATGCTTTAAACTGTTTGACAAACATTGAACCATTTGAGTGTCCTCTGTTATTTATTGCTCGTATTGAAATATCATGATTTACTGAACTTTCTGCCACTCTGCGATGCTGAAGGGACCTTTGCACAGTGGGTTGTCTTTTTTCATGAATTATTATGTTTATAAACAAATTTTCATATTCTCAGATATATTTGAGACTCAAATGCAAAATTTCACGATATTCTGCAACTCTTGTCAGAATATCGCATTTTAATGCAGGTCAAATAGGGAATGGGAAGAAATATGTTGAAGTGATACCCACCGTGAAGGAAACCGAGCAATCCTCTGCTCTTCCACGAGAAATCACATCACACTTTGTAGCAGGGATTGTTTTGGTAATCTAATGCTGATTGTAGCGATTTATAATAGGTTTTTTCGTTGACGCACTCCGTGTGGATAGGGGCCCCGCGGATCTGAACGCGGACGAGCTGACAGAAACGTTAGTGAGAGCATGTGACACGATCATAAAGAGGAAACTGGAGCTAAACAGCAGACGGCGTCCAGGCACGTCCGGAACGAGGCACTTATCATCCTCCGCGGTAGTTGTCTCAAAGCCAGAAGACGTGAGCAAGAGCAGAGAGGAACGAAGAGGAGTATTTTGAGCGGTCAGGGCCTAATAGCTTAGTCAGTAAAGAAACGGTGTTACCAACCAGTGGAAGCTAAATTGGCTCACTACTTGATTAGCCTATTGGTCCAAAGTAAATCGATTAACGTACCCCATTCTAGTCGAAATTCTAGTACTACACTATGTTTGTTTTGATACAATATGAAAGTTTGACAGATAAAATGAGGGGTTCGTGGATTTTCCGATGTTTCGAGGGGTGCATCGATTAGCTTGGGACCGAAGAGAGTACCAGAGCTGAGTCAAAAAGTTAAGAACGTTTCTTCGGAACCTTCTAGTCTTAGAGTTACCTCTATGATATTACCAAGCCGGAGGCGGTGGGTTCGATTCCCGGTGCGGTCGAGAGAATCTTTCGAGTTGGAAATTTTCTCGACTTCCCTTGGCATAGAGTATTATTGTGCTTGCCATACAATAAACGTATTCATGCATTGGTTTTGGCATCGAAATCTCTCAATTAATTATTGTGGAAGTGCATTTAGAACACATTTGAGAGCACGCAAAAAGCTAATATGCACTACGTAATAAGCTTAAAATGCGAATAAGAAGAAAAAGAAAGAAGGGCCGCACTTAAACGGAATAGCAAGCAGAGAAAGTCAAACTGATTTCAGGAGCTGTGTCCAGACGCTGATGCCAACCACTGGGGCGACGCATACCGAGTCGTAATGGCGAAGATCAGATGTCCAACGATGCCCGCTGAAATGTGCCCAGAGAAGCTGAAAGTCATCGTGGAAGGACTTTTCCTGAAGCACGACCCAACGTCCTGACTCATAGGCAGCGCTGCCAGTATTCCAGGTTTATCTGGATTTTCCAGATTTTCAGTCGTCTTGCCAGATACACAGACCGATCAGAATCATCACAGACGGATTTTTTTTTTTAATCCTGGATTTATAAAAATCAAATCTTTAATATGGAAGATTTTTCCTAATTTTGGAATTCAGAGAAATCGCAAACTGTTCAGGATTGAAAACAATCGAGCTTGAGCTTTGGAAAATTAGAAAGGCTTTTGAATCTAGACAAGCACCAGAACTTTGAAGTATGTTCGTGATATTTTTGAGGATAATTAATTAGATTTTTAAGGAGAATTTCAAAAGCATCTGATAGTTTTTAGCATTTTTATTTGAAGTACCTGTGAATATTGAGCTACCTTAGCAGTCTGAAATACGTGCCCTAGATTTAAGAATTTTAAGGTAATTCTGAAAATAGTTTACAGTGAAGTGTGATTATGCAGTCTGTGCAACTGTTGAAGACGGTGCCAATTGTCTTTTACAAACTCTGATGGATTTGGAAGAGAAATCATAGAAAATTCTTCATACGAAACTTAAGGAAAGAGCTGTTACGAATCGTGAAAATAATTTCAATGGAATTCTGTTCAATGTTTGAATGGAGATTTATATTTATCAAATTTTAATAAATCTGGAAATTTCTGGGAGATTTTCAAGGCCATTCTGACAAAGTACTTGAGTACTAAGGAAATACTGAAGAGGATTACAAAAAAAAAGATCTTACCTACACATCAGTTCATAGGATAAGTCTGAGAAGAATGTGACGGTTATTTTGAAGAGCGTACCAAGGAAATTATTAAGAATATTCTAAGGGAATTTGATAAAAAAAAACTGAGACAAAATTATGCCAATTCTGGGAACTTATAACCAATTTGTAGGGAATTATGGAATCAGAGAGCGAGATTACAAGAGATAATGGTAAGCACTCTTAAAATGTTACTGAAAAAGTTTGGATATTATGAAGATTAGTTTAGGGGAATCCAGAAAAGAAAGATCATGAAATATAAACTTACCTTACCAATCAGACTAAGGCCTTGTTGTCCTCTGTTGTCCGAAGTAGTCGTTCCACTCTACTCGATCTATGGCCACAGTTCGCCAGCCTCGTAGTCTGCGAAGGGTCCGCAAGTCGCCTTCTACTTGGTCGATCCAACTTTCCCGCTGCGCGCCTCTTCTTCCTGATTCCTGTTGGGTCGCTTTCTAGAACCATTTTCACTGGGTCGTCGTGCGGCATTCTTACGACGTGCCCAGCCCACCGTAGTCGCCCAATTTTTGCAATGTGGACGATGGATGGTTCTCCCAGCAGCTGGTGCAATTCGTGGTTCATTCGCCTCCTCCACGTCGTCCATCTGCACTCCACCGTAGATGGTACGCAACACCTTCCATTCGAAAACACCAAGGGTGCTTTGGTCCTCCACGGACATAGTCCAGGTCACGTGGCCGTAGAGGACCACCAGTCTAATCAGCGTCTTGTAGACAGTCAACTTCGTGCGGCAAATTTTATTCAACCGGAGCGTCCTCCGTAATCCAAAGTAGGCACGATTCCCTGCCATAATGCGTCTTTGAATTTCTCTGCTGGTATCATTTTCGGCGGTCACCAGTGAACCCTAATACACGAACTCATCGACCACCTCGATTTCGTCACCGTCAATCTGAACTCGGGGTGGGAGGCTAACATTGTCATCCCTAGAACCTCTTGCTTTCATGTATTTTGTCTTTGATGCGTTGATGGCAAGTCCAATCCGTCTAGCTTCAGCCTTCAGTCTGATGTACGTTTCCGCCATCATCTCAAAGTTCCGTGCCATAATGTCAATGTCATCGGCGAAGCCAAGGAGCTGGATGGACTTCCTGAATATCGTGCCACTCGTGTCTATCCCAGCTCTTCTGATCACACCTTCTAACGCGATGTTGAACAGCAGACACGAAAGTCCATCACCCTGCCGTAACCCCCTTCGAGGTTCAAAGAGACTCGAGAGTGTCCCCGATACTTGAACAACGCACATCACTCGATCCATCGTCGCCTTGACCAATCGCGTCAGTTTATCCGGAAGTCCGTACTCGTGCATAATCTGCCATAGCTGATCTCGATCGATTGTGTCGTATGCGGATTTGAAATTGATGAACAAATGATGTGTGGGCACGTTGTATTCGCGGCATTTCTGCAGAATCTGCCGAATCGTGAAAATTTGGTTCGTGGTAGCGCGGGCACTCATGAATCCCGCCTGGTATTCCCCCACGAACTCTCTTGCATATGGTGACAGACGGCGGCATAGAATTTGGGAGAGTACCTTGTAGGCGGCGCTCAGCAGTGTGATCGCGCGGTAGTTGCAGCAATCCAACTTGTCGCCCTTTTTGTAGATTGGGCATACGACACCTTCCATCCATTCCTCCGGTAATATCTCCTCCTCCCAAATCTTGGCAATTGCCCAGTGCAGCGCTCTAGCCAGTGCTTCACCACCGTATTTTAATAGCTCACTTGGTAGTTGATCTACACCAGTTGCTTTGTTGTTCTTCAGCCGACCGATCTCCTCCTCAACTTCTTGAAGATCGGGGGCCGGTAGCCTGTCGTCTTCTGCGCGTGCTCCAAGGTATGTTGCCGTGCCACTTTCATTTTCTGCTGCTTCACCGTTGAGGTGCTCGTCATAGTACTGCTTCCACCTCTCAATCACCTCACACTCGTTCGTGAGAAGGTTACCGTCCAAGTCCTTGCACATATCGGCTTGCGGCACGTAGCCTTTGCGCGAACTATTTAGCTTCTCATAGAACTTCCGTGTGACGTTTACGCGGTACAGATTTTCCATCGTCTCGCGATCTCGGTCTTCCTGCTGACGCTTCTTCCTTCGGAAAACCGAGTTTTGTCTGTTCCGCGCTTGTCTGTATCGCTCCACATTCAATCTCGTGCGGTGTTGCAGCATTATCGCCCGTGCTGCATTCTTCTCCTCTACTAACAGTTTGCATTCGCCGTCGAACCAGTTATTTCTTCGATCCGGGATTGCAGTACCTAGTGCCGCTGCAGCAGTACTACCTATGGCTGAACGGATGTCCCTCCAGCCATCTTCAAGAGAAGCTGCGCCAAGCTGCTCTTCCGTGGGTAGTGCAACTTCCAGCTGCTGCGCGTAGTCCTGGGCAACTCCGACGTCCCGTAGTTGCTCAATGTTGGGTCGCGGTGTTCGACTTCGACGTGTGTTATGAACCGTCGAGAGTTTTGAGCGCATGCATACTGCAACTAGGTAGTGGTCCGAATCTATGTTCGCACTGCGGTACGTGCGGACGTTTATAATGTCGGAGAAGAATTTCGCTCGATGCCCGCTTTTCCATACCTTTTGTCCCGTCCAGCAAAGTTCCTGCATTGCTACGACTTCGAAGTTGCGTGGTTGAAGTTCGTCATAGATTAACCTATCGCAACCCGGGAAGCCGAGCGATTTGCAGTTCCATGTTCCGAGTTTCCAATCGTAGTCCTTATTTCGTCGCGTAGGTCTGTGCCGATTGTTCCGATCCATATTTCTTTCTTCGGTATTTGCAACTTTGTTTTTTTTTTCCAGGGCGGCTTGTTGGGCCTGTCCCAAC